GGGAAGGGGGCATATGCGTTCTGTACTAACTGGAGCCTGTCTTCATATTCAAGTATCAGAGGGGTAGCCGTGTTAGTCTGTATCCGCAAAAAGAAGAACAGGAGGACTTGTGGCACCTTAGAGACTAACAAATTTATTAGAGCATAAGCTTTCGTGGACTACAGCCCACTTCTTCGGATGCATATAGAATGGAACATATATTGAGGAGATATATATACACACATACACATACACATATGTGTGTATATATATCTCCTCAATATATGTTCCATTCTATATGCATCCGAAGAAGTGGGCTGTAGTCCACGAAAGCTTATGCTCTAATAAATTTGTTAGTCTCTAAGGTGCCACAAGTCCTCCTGTTCTTCTTTTTGCGGATACAGACTAACACGGCTACCCCTCTGATACTTGAATATGAAGACAGGCTCCAGTTAGTACAGAACGCATATGCCCACTTCCTCCATGGCTTAGTGCCCCAGAAGCACATCAGGCCCATGCTCAAATCCTTCCAATGGCTACCGGTCAGTTTCAGGTGTCAGTTTAAAGCCTTGTTCCTAATTTCAAAGCAATTAATGCAGGGGTTCTCAAACTCAGGGTCAGCCTGCTGTCAGCCTCTACCCCAAACCCCACTTTGCCTCCAGCATTTATAATAGTGTTAAATATAGAAAAAAGTGTTTTTAATTTATAAGTGGGGTCGCACTCAGAGGCTTGCTGTGTGAAAGGGGTCACCAGTACAAAAGTTTGAGAACCACTGAATTAATGGATCAAGACCCCAGCTACACTAGAGACTGAATTTCAGTCTATGAATGGCTGACACAGCTAGGCTCCTTGGGACAAAGGAGATCACAAAACCTGGGATGAAGCACATGGGAGCAAAGCATTCTCAGTTGAGAGAAGATCTGGCTATGGAGAAAATTTCCAGAGGAGATCAGATGACTCCAAAGCCTGTCTGTCTTCAGGGAATGATGTACTACCTCCCTCTTTCAAAAGCAGCAAAATGGCAATCACAACATTGGCAGCCCGATCTATCCTCCCAGCCCACCATCTCCAAAAACACCCAACCACCATGTAACAAACAAAGCAACCAATCAAAACAAAAACCAAAACTACTCCAAGCAGTGTTGTTAGCTCAAATAGGGAAGACAGCCAGAGATTCCATGAAGTCTGCTAGGCACTTGGCTATTGATTTCACATGGAAGGCGCTCAGATACTATGGAGCTGGGCGGTGGTGTAAAACCCTAAGGCCACGTCTACACTACAGGGATTCTACCAGCATAGCCACAGCGCCACAGGTATGCCAGCATAACTGTGTAGCATAGATGCAGCCTACACTGCCAGAAGGGGTTTTTCTGTTGGTGTAGGAACACCACCTCCCCGAACAAGGGTAGCTAAGTCAATGCAAGCATTCTTCCATCAGCCTAGCTGCGTCTACACCAGGGGCTAGGTTGCCACAGCTGTGTCACTCAGGGGTGTGGATTTTTCACATCTCTGAGCAATGTAGCTACGTTGACCTACATTTTAATTGTAGACGAGGCCTAAGACAGGGAGAACTCACATTGGGCAATGAACTGGAATTGCTTGCTGGGAGCCCCATCAGTACACACACTGAAGCAAAATGTCTTTAAAGTGCACAATCACAACGAAAGGAGGTAGGATCCAAACTGTTAATCAGATTTAAAAGAGTCCCTTGTTCCATCTTGTCACATAAGAAGAGGGAAAAGGTTATTACAGCACTTTCAATGATCTAACCACAAGCCACCAGCTGCATGCAGGGAAAGTTCGGCTAGAGCCAGTGTGTGCTAGTTCTCATCAGAGCCAACACCCTGAACATGCAGTTCTGCTCTGAAAAGGGACTGTCAAAATAGCATCATTGGCTTCCATGTTTATTGGGTCTTAGTGATTGCTGTTCTGACTGGGCTAACACAATACCACGGAGTAATTAAAACACCAAAAGCTATCCATTTCTGAGGGCTCTTTTTCAATATTGGAGTTCATTAAGTTAGTACTATATACATAAATATTTCATGGTTTTTAGGAGCTGACACCAGTGAACCATAAAGATCACTGGGCAGAAAATTATTTGGGAGAGTATAAACTGAGCAGGGGGAGGGATAGCTCAGTGGTTTGAGCATTGGCCTGCTAACCCCAGGGTGTTGTGAGTTCAATCCTTGAGGGGGCCACTCAGGGATCTGGGGCAAAATCAGTACTTGGTCCTGCTAGTGAAGGCAGGGGGCTGGACTCAATGACCTTTCAAAGTCCTGTCCCGTCCAGTTCTATGAGATAGGTATATTTCTGTATATTATTATATTGACACCATTTTAACACCTAAATTACTTACATTTTGTAAAAACATCCATCTACAAAATTTAAACTCATGGAGGTATTTCCTATGTCTAAAGTTCCAATGGACCCATATTTGGTTTAAAACTTGCATTCCCTGGCAGAATAACACTACAATGCTTGGGCTGTAAATGCTAATTAATGAAAATATGAAAGTGAGATTATCTAGAAATCCACGATCAGAAAATGTAACTGATTAGACTACTGTGTTTTCATTGTTCGAGTTGAAGAGAAATAGATAAAAGTGACATGCAAACCAAGAACATTTTTAGATTTTCAGAATTAATAATCCAAGGTGGCATTTATAATACAGTTAAAAACACTGTCTTTTAGAAATACATGGTTCTTAACTGGCCAGTTTATTATTTCATTATTATGATTGGTATTTGCAAAGAAAGGCTTGAAATGGATATTTAAATAGCTGACCCAACCTAGATCTAAGAATGTATTTCTCTCTTGTAAATATATTTCTTTCCGCTTTTTGGCCCACATTCCATTTAGAAATCATTAAAAAAAATTTTTTTGTTTAAATCTATGGCTTGCTATGCAACATCACAACACTAATGCCAAAAACTGACCTACAATTAACAGTCACAACGACTACCAGACAAACATTTGCATTGGCAGAATTGTTCAAAAATTGCCTTTCTATGCCAAGAAAAAAAGCCTATTGGATACCCACAGCTTAATAGACAACATTCCTGTATTCTAAAATCACCACCACCGATTACTTGGCTGAAATAGTTTCTTGCAGCTGTATACAAGATGTCTCAAAAGCAGAGGCTTTTGCTGCATTCCTTCTCCCTATACACACTCTTTTGCAACGGCATGAAAACTATTACGATTTTAGGTAACACGGTAATACAGTCTTAACAGCACAATTTAGGATACTACATAAGTAATAATTTAAGGCTATCATTTTATTAGATAGTGTATATATTATAAACAGACACTGTAAATCTGGACACAAGACAGTGTGGTGGTACATTTTTATGGGCTACACTGCCAGTCTGCAATCTGTCCTGTGAAAAGGGCAGCACATAGCTACAGTGCCCCAGGAACAGATCATGCAGGGAATTGCCACAATTCTCTCCCTGATTCCACCCTTGCTCTGGGGGAAAAACAAGCCTATATTTAATGTAGATTACTTCCTCCTCCATGTTGGCTCAGTTATAGGGAACAGCACATGGCAAGGGTAGATCAAAGGCCCTCTCCCAGTCCCTGCCTGGCCACCTGCGTGGCAGAGGAGAGTAGCAGCCTAGCCGTGACTGCTCTTCTCCCTGCTCTGTAACCTCTCCGAGCATTTAGCCTATACAAGGGTGTAAGGGGGTATAATCTTCCCTTATATTTCCAAACCCAGTCCTTAACCTTTGAGCACTCTGCAACCCTCCTCCATTTGGATACTATTTAAGGAAGAGATCCAATCATTTCTGCCCACACCGGAAGTTTGGAAGCTGAATATTCCCAGATCTGACCATCAGGTCCTGGCATTGTGTAAACATTATGAAAAGTATGGCCAAGTGCACAATCAGATTCTTTCCAGGCTTTGCAGAAATGGTAGCTAGTTTATAAAACATGAAGTCAAATGCCAGTGACTAGGGTCATTAGAATTCCAGTAAAACTGACTAAGGATGTGAAAATCGTACAACGTTCAGTGAAAAGGAATTCATATAGTGCAACATTCAGCAACACACAGTGGTCTGAAAATACGACGTATGGGATTAATTCAACAAAACATGCCGACCCAGCAAGGTTATTGCACTGAGCAAATGCTAGAGTGCAAGTATATTTAGGATGCATAAAAAGGGAAAAGCAGATCCACTTCTTGGTTTGTCAAAGAGCTTATAGACTATGTGTGTGCGACAGTCTAAACAGATGGGGCGTGGAGGAACTCCCCTCGTCTTTACCAATCTTTTTTGGTGGAGAATGGTTCTGGGAAGAGGCAAAGGAAAGGAAAGGAAAGGAAAGGAAAGGAAAGGAAAGGAAAGGAAAGGAAAGGAAAGGAAAGGAAAGGAAAGCCTGTCTCTCTGTTTTGCAGTAAGCAGC